GGCGGGGGGGGGGCGGGGGGGACTCATCCCGGGCGCCGCGATCGGGCGGAATAAACGCGACATTTTTTCACAACGCCACCCAAATACTCCAGTTTCGTTACTAAAAGGCCAGTGGTGCATTGTGGAGGTGTCACTAGTCGGGGGAATGGAGCCCGCGGGCAGTTTCTGGCGGGCAGCCGGGCCCCTCACTCATCCATCCCTCAGAGCCCGGTTGACCAGCCGAGTTTACCTCCTCTTTCTGTAATTAACTGAAGTAATTTCGGTAATTAACAGAAGAATCCAGGAGCGTGGAAGAAGACCGTTATTTGCATAGGCTGTAGCACTGAATTTCAATGCACGGTCACGCTCATAGATTACCTACTGAAAATAACTGGCTATTATTTACGGCTTTAACTCTCTCCCAAAACACAGAACGTGGAATATGCTCACTGCTGCAAGGTTCAAGGTATATTTTCTGAGATTTAATGTACTCACGGGAGCGAACTGGGTAGTGCAGTAGTAACAAGTTTTTGCAAGCACACAGAATACTCAGAATGGCCCCTTGAGGCTGGGTTCTTGTTTCGCTGCAGTAACTTTCTTTGGGGATTTCTTTTAATAAACTATGGTTGCAAAGCTCTGAAGAGTTAACTGGCGACTGCATTTAAAAAGGAGGTGGGATGCCTTGTGTTGAGAGAGGGTGCTAATTGCTCTGACCAAGTCTCACTAAAGGCGTGCATTCCATTTTTTCAGATACCTTTAGTTTTGCTCTTTGCAAGCATACAATTTATTTTTAAAAGTGGCCAGAAAGATTTAGGATGGACTCTAGTTCATATTCAGCAGAGAAATTTTGAAATACTACTACAGCAGGGCAGTGCCTGGTCACGATACTGGGCTTAACCTTGAAATACAAACTCACAAATTAGTTTCAGGTATTTTGATGTTACAGGATTTGTTTTACTTCCCCTTAAAATAACTCTGAGCAGTACCCATCCATCTCATGTCTCAAGTTTCCCTTTCAAAAGCACCACAACGCGGGTCAGCTCAGTGAAGCCTGAGATCTGATTTCCCTGCAGAGGAATCGTAACTTTACTGGATACGGTGAAAGTGTGCCAAGACTGGGCTTGACCTCTTGAATTCCAGGAAAGTTGCCGAGCATCCGTTTCTAAGGGGTGTCACTCTGCATCCAAGTAAGACAATAAATGAGGAAGAAAACATTTAAACAGTAGTAACATTTCCTTAAATAGGAGTGGGGAACAACGTATTGCTTCTGTATCCTTCAGCCTGTTGCATTTATCAGGAGCAACTTACACATGTAGGGGAAACAGAGGAGAAATCAATTAGCAATATTGGAGGAAAATCCAAGGTATTTTGAAGGAAAGCAATGAAAACTACTGAAGATGGAAAACAGGGAATTCTTAAGAAGTAAGTATTTGCTTCTAGGAACTGAAGTTGTAGTTTGATCTACTCCCATTAGATCACATGCCATCCTTTCTTAAGAAGGAAAGGTCCAGTTTGTAAAAGGTTGAAATGGAGAAATGGAAAAATGGCATCAAGCTGACAATTTTAACAGAAGAACAGAGAAATGAGACTTCTTTCAGAACAGGGTTATTTTTTATTGTCAAGGCCAAGAATTTCAGTCCTGGAAAGGAACACAGGATATACAATCATTTCATAGATTTTGATTGTCCAAATGCTTCAAATCCCACCATGATTTTGAGACTAATAAACTAAATACTGGAAGCTGCTTCTACAGTTTCACATGAATTAGGTTTTTCATTGCCACAAGTACTTTTGATTGTCATCAAAGTTAGCCCACCCTCCTGTGCAGTGCAAGTTTTGTGTTACATCTGTCAGGCACTGCTTTGTCTGCCCTGCAAAAATGTACAGATGTACAAAGGTAAACAGTATGCAGATGTTGCCAAGTTGTATTTATTAAGGATGTCCAGCTGTTCATCAAAACAACAAAAAAAGACCTCTTACTGATTTATTCAAGTCCAGTTTGAAAACTACGATATTCCTGGAGAGTAAGTCTGTTGGACATTTGCCTTTGTGGTCTGTGGAGCCAAGCAGGCATTTTTTATGTGGAAGACTGCAGGACAGAAGTTGCTGTTACACACTCAGTGTCTGAGGACAGGCTGCAATTGCAAGCAGATGATGCATGCCCGCTGGTGTGAGGCAGCATTAGTGGGTGAGTTTCAATAAATGTTAACTATGTTCCCCAAAAAACCCCAGTCACACAAGTAAGGCCACATAGCAGTGTTTGCACTTTAAGGCAATGACATAGACTCAGAGAGTTGAGACTGGAAAGGCTGCATAGGCTGAGCTAGGTGAAAATCATCTAGTAACTGTAGTTTTGTCTGAACCTCCTGTTCCTTACCCATACCAAGGGACCGCTTTCCCTGGTAGTTCTGGTTGTAATTAATGCGCACACAATTTCCTCATTTCTGCCTTGCATTTGACTGGCTTCAACTTCCAGCCATTAATACTTATTTCATTATTCTCGATTTCGCCAAGTGATACATTGCTTAGACTAGTAATTTTCCCTTTGGCACATTCAGAGCACTGTTGACAAGTCCCTTTCCAGTCCTACACTGACAGGTCAGAGCAAAACCAGCTCACCGTCTGTACTGCACGTGCCTGCTTCGCAGCCTTGTGGCAGAAGGGAGTATTCCTACCTCTTCTCTCCGCAGGTTTTAGAAAATCCACTCAGCCACACCTGTGGCACCGTGCTGGGAAACGTGGAGCGATCCACACAGGGCTGGTCTGGGCTTAGTTTATTTTCTCCTTCCAGCCACGGGCACAGTGTCCCCTTTTCCCCACCTGTTGGAAACTCTGCAGGGAGGGAGAAGCACCACAGTTCTGCAGAGGCTACGCAGGCACTGTGTGAGAGCCCGGGAGCCAGCTTCTCACAGGCTGAAACTCAGAGCACTGTCAAAGGGAGCCTGGAGCTGCGCCTCAGTGTCCCACAGAACGCAGACCTACTAAGGGCACAGACTGTCAGTCTTCCAAGAAGCCATCAGTCAGCTTCTTTTCAGTGCTTTATAAACATCAGTTGGTCCTTAAACTTGGGCTTAATCTTCTTTTCCTGATATAACGCCCAGAACTCCCACTGCAAAAAAATGAGAAACCTGGGTGTACAGCCAGAGGTCATTTGGGTTGCAGGGATGTGGACAAGGACCTCTCTTACGAAGAAGGATTTAGGAAGTACACAGCATAATAGGTGTCAAACACTTGGCCCAGCTCTTTTATAAGGCAGAGAGGTTTCCTCTTTGGAAAGAGCAGGAACCTAGAGAGAGGCACCTGAAAAGAGAGGGAGAACAAGGGATAGCAGTGCCTGTCGTCTGCTTTCATCAGTCTGAAAATATCCAGATGAGGCTGAAGGCTTTTGAATTAAGGTGCCACAGTTTCAAATGCTCTCAGCGTTCCCATGGTGTCCTGTGCTACTTCCTTCATCTGCTAAAACTCTTGGAATTAAGTGGCTGATAAAATCGGAATGTCAACTTTATAAATATGAAAGTGGGTTTGTAGCCATCAGGACTGTGAATGATGAGAAGGGATGTAACTACCAGAGTGAGGTATATTAATGTGTTTCCAGCACTAAGGAACAGAGGTGGTACTACCGTCACTCTTCCAACCTGGAAACAGTTTTCCTGATGTCCTGCCTTTGAATTAAGGCAAAAGTTGAAAACTTTCTTGTAAAGAAAAAAAAAAAAAAAGATGGCTAACAAGAATTTGGAATCACCTTAATCAAAGCACCTTTTCTAACCAAGTGCCTTCCTAAACAACAGAATGACATGGCTACACTGGTGCGGCTTTTTCCACATTAAAATATATTTCAGATCAGAAAAATTGCAGTTGTAGAAAACTGTACACAGAAATGATCAATGCCTCTAACAATTTTAGAAAGTAAAAAAGTAAACAATGATGTGAAAAAGTATACAAAGAGAAGATTTACTGGTTTATGAAAATATCTGCATGTACAAAACTATCCCCACGATAAAATACAAAATTGTATACTGAATTTGTGCAGATATGCTCTGCAAAGCATGTCTGTTAAAACATTTTACCTGGCCTTATAGAGGATACTAATGGTTTGTATTTTGAACAAGAATTAATTTTGCTGTACTTACTCTCAGAATGCCAAACTCACAGGCAGCCGCTGCCTATACAAAAAAAGTCCTGTCACTTGCTGCTGGAGAACAAAGTGTTTTGCCTTTACGAGCACGGATTCCTACTAAGGTGACCCAGAAAAGACAGGCAGAGCATACTGGCCAATAGCAATGCTAGTGGAACTGTAACGTAAGTCTCATCCCATAACTCTATTCCTTTAAGGCCATGTAGAAATTTGTTGCATCACCTCTACAGAGGGGAATAAAAAAAAAAACCCCAAACAAACCCCAAACCTAAACTCCAACACAACACCCCTAACCCCATGCCCAATATACTACGGTTCCTTAAACAGGAAGTTATTTTGCATCTCTCATTGGTTCAAATTCCAGGTGATTTCTGACATACAGCAGAACATTTAGAAATACAATACAAAAAGTCTTAAAACTAAGTTTTGACTTGCCAAAATTAATCAGTATGATTAAGCACTCCGCCAAAACCCAGCCAGAAAGAACAGCTCATGCTTCCTGATTTCACTGAGCTGTCACCTGTAAATAAAACCTCAGTCACTGGCATTTCTGTGCAAACGTCCACCATGGTATTTAGACCTGCTTTCTCCGGTGGGCTTTGCAAATCTGCAAATACGGTCTTTTCAAACCAAGCATGCACACTTAGGAGGCCAGGCTGTGAACTAATAAAAACAGAATATTAGGACAGGTTTTCCAGTTCACTGCATTGCTTTACAATCAGATCTGCAGACAAAACCTACAGTAATGCACAACATCCAAGTAAGTGACAAAGTGATTAAGCAATCCCCATAGGTGTACTGTTCTGAGAGTAAATAAATAGTTTAAAATATGCATATCGACTGGAAAAAAAAAATCAAAAGTAGTATCCACAAATTGAAGGCACAGCTAAGTTTCTACGTTCCAGTTCATAACTTTATCATAGTCCTGAATTCGTTGTTTTATGTGAGAAAGCTTATTCTTTAGGTATTCACAACGCTCCTTTTTTTCCAGAAATGCAGGATCCTGCCAAAAATACAAAAACCTCTGCATTAGTACGTTGCACTTTCAGCCTCTTCCAAGGATAGTCTATTATCAACTGTGTTCTTGATTAAGGACAATATTTAAATAGTCTACAAAAATCACACTCTTTTTCCCTGGCCACTATTTCTTATTTCCTGTTTCCCCTTCCTTCATGAATGAGATTTTGATTTTATATGCTGTAGTTACTTGGCAAACAGAGCAGTTTTTAAACAGATACAAATGACATCTTACTACATAATTTAGATTTTCTAGGTGTGTTGTGGTGCATCTAATAAACCTCTCCCCTCCCACAAAGCAATGAATTGTACCTAGTATGGACATAAAGTTTGAGTTCCATATAAAAAGGGGTATTAAAAACATGCTAGGTTACAAATGGGACAGATGTACACATTTACTGCCCACGTTTAAAAACAGCAAAGTGAAACCTCCTGGATTACACTGAAAATTACTTTTTGAGGGTCTGTCTAAGTTCCACGCCACACAGAAAATACAGAACTTCTTTTTGTTAGGGTAAAACGATGTTTTCTGTTGTTAACTTATGTGTTGGCTGTGTCAGTCTGTAAATACAAATGAACTAGATCCAAAAACATCTTCTGAATGCAGAATGCTGAGATGAGACAGCCTCTCAGATGAAAATGCTTAACTCTCGGGTCCCTGCCCTGCGTTCGGCTAATGGAATCATCATTCTCAAAGCAAGTTGTTGGCACGAGTGGAGTGGGTTGTGCCCTGACGTTGCTGAAGTTTTAGGAGACAAAATGTACAAAACCCTGTAGCAGCTGCCGATAATCTGAGCTACTGAACTGTACCTAGTGCCAGACACGCTGGCTACGTGCGCTCTCTTTGCCATTCGTTAGATTCACTAAGAATGTAAAGCTGAAAAGACTCACGTTTTTCTTCTTCTTGTATTCCTGCAAAACTTTTGATATCCTTTCCTGTTCCTACCGAGAGAGGCAACACATTTTTACACACTTGGAGCGTGCTCCGTATATTCATGTAAATTTTACAAAATACTCATCAGAAATAAATTTCTCATTTGATGAATCCATTCTAGATTCATCAACGTTTTAGGTGTATATTTTGTATCTGAGAAACAGTGAAAGTACATTAACTGTAATTAACTCAAACTTGAAAGCCACAAGCATGAAAAAAAAAAAAAAAGAACCCAAATACAGAAAAACATGTCTACAACTAAACTGAAAGTTTGTATGCATCACTGATGACCAAACAAGAAATAACATATTTGGGAAAACTTCTTCTCCCACCAAGTCACCACCAGCATTACAAGACATTGTCCCTTAGCTAACGGCAGTCAGAAAGTAATTCCAGATGCCCACCTCACAAGTACTTACATATATGCTTTCAGGATGGTGAGGAAGCTGTCTCATCAATGCATCCAGCTCATCAAACTTCTTTAATACAGCATGAACTTCCACAGAGAGTTCTTTATACTCAGCAAACTGATCATTGAATACTGCTTTGTACCGGTCTCGCATTTCATTCGTTTGAATTGCTGGGTATTTCCTTAAAATTAAAAGAAAAGTTGTCAAGGACTAGTTTTATATACAGTACTTCAACAACCCTTCACCTTGACAGCGTATTTCTGTATTGTTTGTCAACCTCGTAACCTGCTAAAGAGGTTAAGCACTGAAATCTCAGAACGGTTGAGGTTGGAAGGGACCTCTGGAGGGATGTCTGGAGGCCATCTGGTCCAACCACCCTGCTCAAGCTAGGCCTCCTAGAACTGGCTGTCCAGGACTGTGTCCAGAGGGCTTTTGAGTATCGTCAAGGATGGAGACTCCCTAATCTGTCTGGGCAACCTGTGCTAACCCTCACAGGGAATAAAATTTGCCTAATATTTGGGTAGAATTTATCATAGAATCATGGAACAGTTTGGTTAGAAGGGATGGACCTTAAAGTCCGCCAAGTCTCACCCCTTGCCATGGGCAGGGACACCTTCCATAGCCCAGGTTGCTCCAAGCCTCATCCAGCCTGGCCTTGGACACTCCCAAGGATGGGGCATCCACAGCTTCTCTGGGCAACCTGTCCCAGTGCTCCCCACCCTCTCCGAGAAGAACTTCTTCCTGATGTCCCATCTCAATCTCCTTCTTCCAGTTTAAACCCATTACCCCTTGTCCTGTCACTACAGGCCCTTGTAAAAAGTCCCCCCCAGCTTCCTTGTAGCCCCCTTCAGGTACTGAAAGGTGCTATAAGGTCTCCCTGGAGCCTTCTCTTCTCCAGGCTGAACAAGCCCAGTTGTCTCAGCCTTTCATCATAGGAGAGACGCTCCAGCCCTTGGAGCATCAACTGAACTGCCTGTGTTTCAATTTGTGCCCTACTCTATGGCAAATACCATAAAAATTAATTTATGATCTCATACTTCACCATGAAAAGGCCTATCCTTTACAAGGGAGCATGTTATAGATTTAGCAGTTACAAAGTACAAAAGTAGTCAAATTTCAGGAGCTAGAAAGACAAGTGATTTCCCTTTTTTCTTTCTTTTCCTAAATTACCTGTGTGGTGGTCTTCTGTTCCTTTGGCAGATATTGAACGTGGTCGCTTATAACACTCCACCTTAACATCTGAGGTTTGGGTGGGTTTTTTAAAATTCAAGATTACTTATTCTTTATCCCCAGTTCTGCGCCATCAATATCGGCGCTCCCCTTCTCTATTTCTAACATTAATAACGAACGACGTGCTCCCACAGCACATCCATGGCAGAGAAAACATTAATGCGTACATGAGAAATGCTGAGTGAAAAACACCATTCGAGTACTCTCCATTCTCCACTTACGCCAAGTAGTCTGGCATCACTATGGGTTTAGGAATGTGGCCTGCAGGTATATGACCATTGAGGAGTTCCGGGTTTCTTTCAGCTGGTTTAAACTGCCTGTAAGTGACCTCTTCTCTTTGTCTGTCATCGCTTTCATACTGTTTTAAAGAAAAAAAGAGTTCTTGATGAAGTCAGTTTTCCTTCAAATGCAACATATGTAAACTGCAAAAAACCCAACTCATTTGAAGACAAAGATATATTAAGCAGCAGTAGAAGCAAACAGGAGGTATTTCTTACAATCCTTACTGTAATTAGAAAATTAGTAAAGAGTTACAGTCATGTTTCGCACACAGTACCCATCTTCAGTTTCTCCTAACAGCAGTACCAGAGACAGAAAAATACTTCTTGGGGCTTGGAAAGATCTGTCTTTTATGTCTGAAAAAATTAATTTACGGAAGTTTCCTTGGCTATTTTGTGAATGAACAGGAATCAGTCAGTTCTCAGGAGTCTCCTTTTGCCCCTGTTTCCTATTGCTGGATCAAGGGATAAATTGTGCAATAAAAACAGATGGGAGTCTTTTGGAACACATGAAAAAGAATTCTCATCCTGTATGGAAGCAACAGAGAACGTAGTGGGAGGAAATTCACTGGATCTAACAGGGAAGTGATTTAAGGCTGAAATAAACACACCACAAATTCTTTGGGAATCATCAACATCTGCTGTCAAGATCCTATGCAATCTTTGCAGTGAATGCAACCGCATCTTTGTGTGGCAGAAGCACTAAAATTGCTGATATTCAAAACCAGCAAGGAGGTGTCTGGAGCAGCCCCAGGCACACAACAAGCTCAACTCACAGAGCACCTACCACCGTGCTTCCACTGGCTTTCCCCCCACAGCCGGGGGGAAGGAGTCTCTCACAACCCATCAGATGACCATGCCCGTCAAACCCTGCAAGAAATGCTACAGGACTTCTCAATGCACAGAAGGGGGTAAGAGCACACACAGAGGCAGTCATCAGATTTACTATTTACAGTACGTTTTATACCCAGATTGACTAGTAGTAACTTCTTTACAGGCTTCTTCCTCATCTTCTAGGTAAGAGAATGTTGTCCAAACTACGCTAAAGAATTAAACCTCATCTCTTCCAAGGCAAATGAGCAAATAAATGGACAGGCCAACCAAAATAGTCACAAGAAAAGGAACATTTGGAAATACCAGTAAACAGAAAAATAAATTCTTATTTCCTACCTTCTTTTCTGGAAAAGAGGACTGTGTTTTCATCTATCAAAAAAGGGAAAGAACGGTAAGTTTTATTTTCAGCAAAAACAGTATGCAAAAGCACAGTCTCTTAACACCTAAACTTTTTCAAAATCATGCTGAACAGAAAATTACATTTGTCTTTAGGTATGAAGAAATTTAGCATAAGGATTATTGTCAGATCAATTGATTTTAAAACTGTTTAAGACCACTGGAACCAAAACAACCACCCCAAACCCCGGAACAGCAACAGGGTCTCCCTGAGCACAGCCGTAGGAGATGGTTTGCAGGAAGTAAAGGAGACTGGGGAGTGGATGGAGTTATTATTTCACATTCCAACCTGTATTAACTCACTGACATGCTGCAGCCTAGTTCATTGCCTAGAAAACACAGCCCTGCGCTAACTAACCTCCTGTATTCTTCCAGCGACCAACTCGTTCTTGCAGGACATGCCAGAAGTTGGTTAAAAGACTTTGATCAAAGAGCTGCAAAAAAGGGGAGTCTCAGTTTCACGCGAGATGGTGGAATGGAGAGCAGTGTTTAATGAAAATGTTGTAAATCAGACTGCAGTCACAGAGCACAGGAAACACAACTTTAAACTTGCTCTCTCCTACTGAAATCACTTAAATGCTGACCCTTTCCTTAAGTTAGGTTTATATAGGCTTCACATATGTTCACTTTTATCCTATACGAAGTTGTAATTAATATAAAATGAATTTTTAAAGTACTTTTGAGTGGTGTTTTCACGTGAAGGAGGTTTTACACAAATGACTTTGAATTCTCTAGCTGAGGTCTCCGCTCTTTCAGTTCATCATTAACCAGGCGAGTACTGAACGCTTCCAGCCAGGGCAAGGCCAGCAGCAGTGCAATACTTCATCCGAAAAAGCTGACTGAAATTGGAGACACCAGAATCTGGCCAACTCCATTATTACTATTATTTTCTGAGGAAGCTGATCTATGCTGAAAAGACATAAAGTAGTAGTTTGGAGTTTTGCTTGTAAAGCAAAAATAAGTGTTCCATGTTCTTATGGTCATTCACACCAGCACAGTTGTTGAATAAATGCTAGGTGGCTTTAAGATCACCCTTTAAGATCACCCTTCTGAACAGCTGCACCAGCACACTCTTCATTCCTTCCTTTGTTTGGGAAACACACACCAGGAAGTAGTTCACCAGCTGACGCAGGACGAGGGCCGAGTATTACAAAGAGAACACAGACAGCTCCCTACCAAACCACATTAAGAAAAAAGTAAGTCCAAGAATTTGGATCAAAAGATGCTGAAAGAGCCTTTCATTTGGCATCTTAAATACTGTTAAGGCTGGTGACAGTTGACCCTGGGAAGTTGTGGAGTTGCTGCAGAGAAGAGACCTGATACGACTCCATCCACAGCGTGGGAAAATCGTAGGGGCGCTCCCCATCGCACCATTCCCAGTGGACCTAAGGCGATAACTCATGACATACCTCCCGTTCCATTAGCTCCCTGTGTCTCCTGGCTGCTTCATGCCGCCACAGCTTCAGAGAAACCACCGCGCTGATGAGATAGATGATCACCGTGACAAACAAGAAGATGATTGCTGCCGTCTGACCACCCTCCACGCGGCAAAACGATGCATTGATCGGCGTCCGGAACAACTGGTAGTAGCAGAGCCCACCTCGGTTGGTATCGTTCACGTACACTATGGCGGCCGACATGTACAGCAAGAACAAGGCCACATTAATCCCGAACTCAGTCAGAGGCCACCAGTTGGAATCCAGGAGGATAGTCCGGTAGTACATCGACATGCCCAACACCAGCAGCACTATCGTGACGACCCACGCCATTCCTGCCACCACCAGGATGAAGGGAGTTTTGGGCCCGCTG